ACAGGGAAAATACTATCAGACTGACTAAACGTCCAACATTACCAAAAAATCCAATGCCTCACACTGCGATGACTATCGAATATTAAGCATGATGTCTCATGTCCTTAAAATTTTTCTCAGAATCATTCATACACGAATTTACAAGAAGTGTGAGTTTCAGATGAGTGACACTCAATTCGGATTTCGAAATTGATTGGGAACATAAAGAGCTCTTTTTGCTTTAAATGTGTTAATACAATGATGCAGATACATGAATGTGGATGTATATGCATGCTTTAATGATTATCGAAAAGCATTTGACTGCGTTAACCATCAAAAGATGACCTAAATTCTGGGAACAACTGCAATTGACGAACAAGACGTGCGAATTATCTCAGAACTATATGGCACCAAACGACAACAATTGAAATAGAGCACACAACATCCGAAGATATACGAATCCGACGAGGAGTGAGATAAGGTTGCGTCTTATCACCACTATTATTTAATCTGTATTCGGAATCTATATTCAGAAAAGCATTAGATGATTTTCAAGGCGGAATCAAGATTAACAGAACCAGCATAGACAACACCAGGTACGCTGATGATACCGTCCTAGCTAGTCCTAGGTAATTCGTCATAGCGAAATGTTCGGTTTACATCTAAACGTTTCTAATAGCTTCCATGCTTCCATAAAATATTTGGGAGCAAATATCAACAGCCAGTGTAACTCAAAAAAGAAATTTTGTCAAGAATCGAACAAGCGAGGAAAACACCCATGAACATGAAAACATTTTTTACAAGATCAGACGTTAGTCTAGAGCTCAGAATTCGAATTATCAACTGTTACGTTTTCTCTGTTTTGTTGTATGGCTGTGAAAGTTGTATAATGGACTCTGAAACAGAAAAAAGAATAGATGCTTTTAAAATGTATACATATATATATATATATATATATATATATATATATATATATATATATATATATATATATATAAAAGAAAGACAAGGTAGTCCAAAGTTTTTTGACTAGTTTGGAAAAAATATGTAAATACTTTTTTCTTTTTGGGTGTGGTAGTCAATAAAAAATAGAGCTTTGCTAAGGCGTACTATTTATTCTGAATTCCGAGCTTTCGGTGGTTATTTGCCACCTTTATCAAGGTCTACAATGAAAATTACTGTGTTATAACATTAGGCTGATGTAATATAAAAGTTATAAAAACTTACCAGAAAGTATAATATACGGAAGGGCATAAACAATTCTTCTCAAACAAGTGTGTATTTTTATGCCCTTCCGTATATTCCAAAACTAACCGTAGAACTTACTAAAATTTTCAAAGAATTTAAGAACATCAAAATAGCTAACAAGAACATCAAAACCATACGTCAGCTATATAGCAAAATAAAACAACCCCTAACTACTTTAGAGTCAAGAGATGTTGTTTATTGCATTCAATGTACTGAATGTCCATCCACGTACATTGGTGAAACTGGAAGAAATCTGTCTAGTCGTATCATTTCTCATAAGAGTGACTGTAGACTAAATAAACCCACTTGTGCTTTGGCAGAACACACTATCGATCTAGACCATAAGATAGATTTCAACAATGTTAAAATATTAGCCAGAGAGAAAAATAAATTTAAGAGAACATTCTTAGAAATGGTACATATCAGCAGGAGTGATAACAACAATCTGAATAAAAGATCTGAGATCCAGAATCTTAGCAAAATTTACAATTTTATTTTGACTTTTGACTAGGGTTTTCTGCATCTCAGAGTGCTTCATGTTTCATAAATTCCATTATTAATTGCTATAATTATCATGATTAACTTCAGTTATTATTCAGATGTTCATTTTGTTTTGTTTGTTTGTTTTTTCTAAACCTATTTACTAAATACTATTTTCTTTTTATTTTTTGACATAATAAAACCTTTTTTTAAATTTCCCTCTCAATTCTAAGTTGGTAACATGGTTGGTAGTACCTAAAATCACAAACGGCATTTTGTTAGACATCAGTTTGAAAGTTTGTTTTTTGTAGTTACATCGAACTATTTAAACAACAATAGTTCCTCCTACTACCTCTTTCTGTTCGTGAGATGTGACTGAATTCAAACCTGCGAAGACGACTGTTTTTTGTCAAACATGTCGTCTTATTTTTTACTTTTTAAACTTTGTAACATGTTCTTTAATTTTTAAGTATTTTAAAGTTTTTAAAATTTTTAATGCCTTCAATAATTCAGGTCACATTATGTTATTTAACGTTGTGTTTTATATGCTATGAATCTTACTTTCTGGTAAGTTTTTATAACTTTTATATTACATCAGCCTAATGTTATAACACAGTAATTTTCATTGTAGACCTTGATAAAGGTGGCAAATAACCACCGAAAGCTCGGAATTCAGAATAAATAGTACGCCTTAGCAAAGCTCTATTTTTTATTGACTACCACACCCAAAAAGAAAAAAGTATTTACATATATATATATATATATATATATAATATATATATATATATATATATATATATATATATATATATATATACAGACGGATGCTGAAAATTCCGGTGATACAAAAAGTTACTAATGGTGAGGTACTTTGGCGCATGAGTAAACAAAAACATGACGAGAATGTTAATAACGAAAATGGAGAACTGGTGATCAACTTCTGCACGAATAACGAACTAAGAATAAACAACACTTTTTTGACCACAAAGGCCAACACAAATATACATTTAATAACACCCGTGGACAAAGATAGATTATGTTTTAACCAACAGGGATATACATCCATCAAAAATAATCGACGTAAGACGCCTCAATTCAGCAGATGTAGGTAGGCGACCACAGCCTAGTATTATGTAAAATAAGAATAATCCTGAAATACTTCCCACCCAAAAGAGCGGTGTCAACACAAACAAAAATCAAAGTTGAAGGACTAAATACGGAATCCTTGGAATACTTATACAGAAAAATAATATCAGAGAAGATCGCTGGAAATAAAATATAAGAAAACGATCACATCGAGGAAAAACTCAAAAATAACACAATGAACGCAGCAGCAACAGAATCACTTGATTGAGGAAAGTAACGAACACTAACATATCAAAAAAGAAAACACCATGGTTTAAGGAGGAAGTGAAGACAAAATGTGAAGAAAAGAAAAAGGCCATTTTACATGCCAAACACAACAGGCATATAACCACTATAAACGAATAAGAAATGAAACGAATACTTTAGTTAGACAAATAAAAAAGGAACACTGGCAGAATTTCTCAAAACAGATGGAACACGACTTCTATGGAACACAAAAAGAAATATGGAGAATGATCAAAGGACAAAGAAAAGAGATGAACAAACTAATAAAAACGAAACACATTCAGAAGGAAACATGGGTAGACTACTTTCGATCCCTATTTGCTAAAGGTGACGATAATGAACCACCAACACCAGAGGTAACCACAAACGAAGAAATAAATATTAAGGAGGAAGAGGTAAAGGAAGCATTAAGGAAAAAAAATATTATCACCAGGAGAGAACAGAATACCGAACGAGCTCCTAACAAAACAAAATTCCTCAATAATGGAGATCAAGAGTCCTAATACCTCTCTTTAAAAAGGGAGATAAATCTTACCCGGAAAATTACAGAGGAATTAATTTATTAAACACAACACTAAAATTAACAACCAAAGTGATAATAAATAAATTGAATGAAATGATAACACTAGCAAAAGAACAACAAGGTTTTAGGTTGGGAAGATCATGCACCGACGCTATATTTATAATGAGGCAAGTGTAAGAGAAATCATTAAAATACAACAAACAGGCATATCTATGTTTCGTGGACCTAACAAAGACATTTGACCGGATCAAATTAAAATACGTTATCCACTTACTGTACGCAAGAGAGATACCTCTAGGAATAATCAAAACGATCAAAAATAACTACGAAAATAACACAAGTAGAAGAAATAACCGACCTTATTGAAGCTGGCAATAGGGTAAGAGTGTGAGATTCATTGATTCCTTTATTGTTCAACCTGATTATAGACGAAATAATAAAAAAGTAAGGACTAAAAAAGAATACCAAATGGAAGATAAACAACTTAAAATAACCTGCTATGCAGACGACGCACTACTACTCTATCAAAGTGAAGATGATTACAACGTATGCTGCACCAATTTAATATAACCGTCAGAAAATTTAACATGTTAATTTCCCCAAAAAAGACAAAATGCATGGTTACAACAGGAATTTTACTAAGATGTAAATTGGAGCTGGAAGGTCAGATAATAGGATTGTTCCGAAGTGAAAGATCAAGTGAATAGAGCAAACAGAGTCGCAGGCTGCCTAAATGAAAAAATATGAAGAAATAAAAATATCGGAAAAGAAACGAAAGGCAGAATTTACAAAACAGTCATCAGACCAATAATGACATACGTGGCAGAAACAAGACCTACGAGGACAAATAGGATATTAGAAACAGCAGAAATGAAAACTCTTAGAAACATTGATGGTAAGACACTATGGCACAGAGCTAGAAGTAAAGATACACGACATAGATGCAAGATGGAGAACATCAAGAACTGGGTAAGAAATAGAAGAGTAGAATGGAACGATCATATAAGTCGAATGACATCAAATAGAGTAGTAAAGCCGGCAAGAGACGGTTCCCCAATAGGAAGATGATCAGATAATTTTGAAGAAGAAGCTTAACTCTCAGTACAGTATTTTCACATGTACAGGGCTTCGAATTCATTAATTTTCAGTAAAAAAAGTCTTTTAAAGCGACACGTATAAACTATTACTTAAAGAATAAATATGATAATAATCCAAATTTAAAGTAATGGGGTATTCCATCATAAAACATAAATTTTATTTATTCCGTTGGAAAATAATTTTTTAATGTACTAATAATTTTTTATTTATTATATTTAGCTTGATCAGGGTGATATCAAACACCATATGAAAATCGGATCAACCTGTAGAGGTGTAATTAAGTGACTAGTTAAATAGTTACCTCAAAACCACCAATAATTAACAACGCCTGGATTCCGTACTCGGTTAATCTCTTCGCTACTTGATCTAATTTGTTCGTAGGTAAAGATCTTTTCGTCCCCAAGTAGGCACCCCCTTGTCCAACCCATCCGGTGACGTCGGCCCACGCTATATTAACAACAAAGATTATTGCATAAAAAAAGAGGATTATTAATAATTTGAAATAATATTTCCAATTCAAACTACAAAGTAAGTTTTGATCAATATTTATAAAACATCTATTAGGACTACTGGACACTATCAACTGAGGAAATACCTCAACAATGAGTAAGGTAAATGAATCATGGCATAGAAAAGAAAATGTGAAATGGCGAAATAAACCACCATACATATCTGTGTTAACGTGAAATGCTTAGTGAGATGAGAGTACACAACAGTATAAAGTCTTGAGCCAGAATAAATCCTTGACCTACCCATTAGAAAAGTTTCTGGTTTTTATCAGTGGCACAGGATTTTAATGAATGCGGTGTTTAATGAATGGACAGGATTTTAGTCTCACTTAGTGCCAGAGACAAGTAGTGCTAGATACAAGTAGTGGCTCACCTGATGTAAGAAGAGGAAGGACGAAGATACATCACATGTAACAGCTATAAATATCAACTAAGGTACGTTGAACGTAGAGGCGAGAAGACTATTGTTCAATATGAAGAGTCCTTGTAGCAGGTAGAACGAAGTAAAGGAGAAAATACGCATCTTTATGCGTATAAAACCAAAATAAAGTTTATTCTAAAGAATTAAGCGTTGATTTATAGTTTAAATGTTTACTCACCCATTTTCTTAACGTTTCCAGCTAAGAGTCCTTCTAAACCATCATGGATTCCTATAACAGTATCTCCTCGATATATACAATTTCGGACGAAAGAGCGGACTGCAGCATTCATGCCGCAAGCTGGTGCTCCTATGTGGATTACAGCCATAACGTAACCTTCCTGAAAGAAGAGTCACTACACATTTTAAAAAACAATATGGGTTTTTGTTACTTTGTATTTTTTTACTTGTATGGTATCTCAAAACGTAAAGTATACAGAACGAAAGAAAGAGAAAGAATCAGAATTACAACTACTAATCTTCTACCGGATTTAGACCATGTCTTATTTGGACAACTTGCGTGAGGGTACATCTCAACATTTCGCTGCACTTGTATGTAAATTCGTGGATAGACGGTAAGAATTTACATCTGAGTGCTTAAGTTACCGTATCCAAAATAGCTTACCGTGCTTCTGAGGTAGGTAGCTACTTAAAGGTGTAGAGAAACTATGAGATATATGCAACACATAGATCATGCAAAAAATAGGACAAGGGAATTTAATAAAAATATTAAATATAGCAAAGTTTATACTTTAGATTTGTCTACGGCATTATATTATATTATAGTAGGGAAATTTGCTTTCTATTAAGTTTCTATAACTAAATTGGGAACTTGGGGATTCACGAAACAAGTACCAAGAAAAAATTGCTTGTGCGACTATGACTGGATAATAAAAATATTAGAAAACCTAAAAATATGTGTGTAAATTAGAATCGGTATTGTGATGATATCGAAAATTTTTAAGGTGGTTAGATTGAAAAGACATATTTCTAGACCTAAAAATATTATATAGTAATAAGATATTAAAATAATAGCTTATAAAGAATTGAGAATCTTCTTCTTTAGGTTACATCTCCCCGTCGGATATTATCTTCATCTTAATGTATCGAGTATATAAGTTCGATCTTTTTTATCATCCAGAGTTCTGTTCCATTATATTCTTATTTGAGCCTAAAATTAATATTATTGCCAAGGAAAATGTTTTTCTTTTTATATATAAAGATCAAGACATTTAACCTTGCTATATCTATTCATGCTTTTGTTTTGACTAGTCGATCGAGTGTGTTAATAATACGGCTGCTCAAATATTTATATTTGCTTATTTCCTTTATAGGAGTCTATAGCGTTTGTAGATCGTATTTGGTTTAATAATTATCTGTCAATCGCATTTTGCTTAAAACGTTCCCATTGTAATATTTTATTTTCATTAAGGGTATCTTTCAAAGTTCGTGAAAAGCTGTAAAACAAGAATTCTGATCGGCAAATATTATATTATAAACAATTCAAACACAAACTTGGATAAGTAAGGGCTATAATTCGGAACACTTCTTGGAGTGTGACTTTTTCTTTTAATATATTTATTTGTTGTATAGCCTGTAGAACTTCTCGTATAATCGGTGTAAAAGTATGGACTATTTCTAAATAATTATCAAAAAATTCTTCGATGTGCTCTAATTCTTTATCCCTAAACGCGTTATTTTAGTATGATTTATATTAGACAACATACTTGGTTGTTGATACATTTTTCAAAACGAAAAACATTTCCAGTTATCAAAAACTTCTTTATATTATGTTATTATACTAAATATTATAAGCGTTATTTCCAATTTAAAAGTACACTTGCATTTGTTTACACTTATAAAATGCAACAATTTAGATCTTAATTCACAAATTGTCTTTAATATAAAGCCATTAATATAACCAGGTAATATCAACGTACAACGTTATACATAGACAATAGACAATCATTTACTACTAAAACTCTTCTTGAAGACTTAAACAAAGCCATTTTACATAAGCAGGCCAGAATTACAGTGAATTAGAAGAATTCACAATAGAAAATCATTGGAACACCATAAGCACTATCATACTAAACACGGCACAAGAAGTTCTTGGAACAAACACTCAACGGAGAGAAGAACAGTGGTTCGATGAAGAATGCAAACAAGCTATTCACGAAAGAAATGAAGCACATAAGAATTTCATACTCAGACGAACTAGAGAGAGAAGGACAGAATTTGAGAATAAAAGACGAAGAGCTGATAAACTATGCAGACAGAAAAAGAGACGGTACGAAAACAACCGGATACTAAACATAGAGAGGGCGTTCAAGGAAAACGAAACACGCAGTGCATACCAACTTATCAAACATTTAAGACAGGGTTACAAACCGAAGACTAGCCTATGCAAAAATAAGAATGGGGAAATAATTAGCGATATGGACGAAATTAAGAGAACCTGGATGATGTATTTTAAGGAATTATTAAACGAAAGGGCACAAACACCACTACAACAGCGGCAGCAGCAGGTAGAACAGGAAGGTCAACAACAGGAGCTGTGGGAAGATGGAGAAGAAAATGAATTGGCTAGACCTCCAACGCTAGAGGAGGTTCGAACAGCAATCCAAATGCAAAAAAGCCATAAAGCGCCGGGAATAGATAAGATACCGGCAGAACTGTTCAAGCAGGGAGAAACAAATTTGACAGATCAGATGTACCAGCTTATACAAGAAATATGGAGAGAAGAAAAAATCCCACAACAATGGAAGAACAGTATAATCTGCCCTATTCATAAAAAAGGAGACAAACTGTTATGCCAGAATTATAGAGGCATCTCTTTACTTTGTTCGGGATACAAAATACTCACAAACATTCTTAATCGAAGACTTCAACCCCTCACTGAAAAAATTATCGGGGAATATCAAGCAGGGTTCAGGCAAAATAGATCTACTATTGACCAACTATTTACAGTTAAACAAATACTAGCCAAAGCATGGGAATATGACATAGACGTCTACAATCTCTTTGTAGATTTCAAGCAAGCCTATGATTCAATAGATAGAACAATACTACCTAATATATTACAAGAATTTGGCATACCATCAAAATTAATAAGACTAGTGCAAATGACAATGACAGAAACAGAAGCACATGTATGTATTCAAGGACAGATCACTGATGCGTTTATGACAACGCAAGGACTGAAACAAGGTGACGGACTGGCTCCAACACTTTTTAATCTTGTTCTTGAATATGTAATTAGACGGTTGACGGTGAGCAGAAATAACATACTTACAAACAAATCTACCCAATTAGCAGCATACGCAGATGACATAAACATAATGAGCAGAACAAAGACTGCGTCAGAAGAAACCTACGTTCAGTTGAAACAGAGTTCAGAAGTTGTAGGGCTAACAATAAATACAAATAAAACAAAACTACTCATACAAACCAGATCAAATAGACAGGCGCAACAACAACAATTTATAGACGATATAGAATACGTGAATAGATTCACGTATTTAGGAATGGATCTGGTCGAAAATAATGAAGAAGAACCGGAAATAAATAGAAGGCTTATGCTGGCAAACAAAGCCTATTTCGCGATGGGCCACATATTCAAATCGCGAGACGTACACCGGAAAACAAAACTCCGGGTATATAAAACAATAATCCGACCCATAGTAAGTTATGGGTGTGAAACATGGGTTATAACACAGAAATCTACCAATGCATTAGACGTGTTCGAAAGAAAAATATTGCGTAGAATACTGGGTCCAATAAAGGAAAATAACAACTGGCGAATTAGATATAATAACGAAATATACGAACAATACACTGAACCAACACTAGCACAATACACTAGACTGCAGAGATTACGATGGGCAGGGCATGTGGCCCGCATGCATGAGAACAGAATCCCCAGAAAATTACTAAACGCAAAAATGCAAGGAAAAAGACCTGTTGGAAGACCAAAAAAGAGATGGGAAGACGAGGTAGATGAGGATACCAAAAATCTCCTAAAAACGCGTTCATGGAAAAGAACAGCAGTAAATAGAGATGTTTGGAGAGGTTTAATGAAGGAGGCCAAGGGGATGGATGGAGGCCAGAATTACATAAAAATCAGTGATTTAAAGATATTTGCTAATCTTTGTGATGATTTGATTAAAAAAACACTTATTTCACATAGAGGTAAGATGGAGCTCGAAGAGAAACATACTCGCTAATTCGTTTTATGAATTCAAGTATTTATATAAAGTATGCTATATCAGGATATAATTAACGTGTTTGTAAACCTATAACTATGACCTCTAATACAAGTGAAAACTACTTAGTATTTCCCAGGTTGGGTTTAATAAATAAAAATTCTTAACTAAATAGTGTTGGAGTGAAATGTTTTATTCATTTGGAGAGTCTGGTTGCTAAGTTTTCCCGATATTCAACCCAAAACTTTTCCAAAAGTCACATCCATAAATTCCAAAATACAAATCACAAATCCTTTTATAAATTGATGTTGACTAACTGTCTGAAACGATATAAGAAGAATCAGAATCGGATATGAAGAATTATTCAATACTAATGTTTGAAATAAATAAATTCAATTGCTATTTTAATTTTAACAAAGTTAGTAACGATGACGATAACAGTGACGATTCAAGTCTAGAGCTAGAGGACAACTAAACGCTTTTAAGTTATTTTCTCTTTTCATTTTTATCCATTCCTCCAGATTCGTATTATGTTAACTGAAGTCAATATGTTAAAGATCCGGAATTTGCATTTTATGGATTCTAGCTCAAAATTAGGTGAATCGCCAAGACAACAGGCAAGCTAAACTTTTACCTATGATTACTATATTCCTTTTCAAATAAACATGATTCATTTAAATAGTGATACAAATTCTTCTTCTTCATGTAGCATGTCCTTTCAGAACGTTGGTTACCATCATAGCTATCTTAATTTTATTCACTTCCACTCTAAATAGCATGCTTTTATCAACACCATACCAATCTCGCAAGTTCTTCAACCATGAGGTTCTTCTTCGTCCTGGACTGCGTGTGCCTGCTGTTTCTCCTTGCATGATATTTTGTAGCAACCTATATTTGGGACCTCTCATTACATGTCCGAAATACTCCAGCTTTATCTGCTTGATGCTTTTTATGATCTCAGTAGTCTTGCTGAGACGTTCTAGTATTGTGGAGTTTCGAATCTTCTCCACCCAGGAAACTTTTAAAATTCTTCTATAGCACCACATTTCGAAAGCCTCAAGGCGATTTAGATAGATTTTATTCACAGTCCAGGACTCGACACCATAAAGTAAGACCGAGAGCACGTAGCAGTGAAG